TTAATAAATAATAATATTATATATATAGTAATCAAATTGGGTTGAGTCAATAAAAATCAAATGTTAAATCTATATGAATAATATTAATGATTAATTTTTTAATGAGAAAATTAGTTAAATAGTTTCGAAAAGAAATTCTAAATTATGTCAATCATTATTTGCTTCGAATTAAAAATTTGTGTTATTAATATAAATGAAATATATTTGTCTAATTATTATAAAAAAGGGTGGGAGGTGGGTGGGTGGGGGGGAGAAGAAATAAATGTATTTTGTCATTGTAATCGAGTTTTTTGTTTTGTTTTTGTTTTAAGAATGAAATTATTCTATTATCAAACGATAATTATTGTCTTTTAATTATATCTTTTTGTAATAATCTAAAATACGTTTCTATCATCAACGATCTATTTGTCATCTATTTTTATACTTTTTTTTCCCCCGACCGAGTTGGTGGACAGTCTCTTCAAAGTTTTATAAGGTTTCTGAGTATTGTGCAATTGAGGTCGCTGAATAATTCATTATGATTCGCTATCAGAATAAGAAACCGGGTTATCATTGATTACGGGAGGTCTGGGGTGGTATTTAGTTTGAGTATCGCGAAATTCATAATTTTTTTTTTCTATTAAATAAACGAATAAAGTCATCTCCTAAACATCGAATCAGTTTAATCAACAATACTAATCTAATCACCGTATTTTGTAACCCTTTGAATGCCTGAACGCACATAAATGTGGGACACAATAATTTATTATTAATATGAACCAAAAGTTTGTTTCTATTCTGTTAAAACTTTGACTTTGAAATTGCATAATTGATTGTTGTTTTTGATCAAATTTATTTTTCAAATATTCATTTCAAAAAATACCATCAACTTTTTTGCTTCATTCTAATATTATATAATCAGATTATGATAATAAATTGTATATTAATAATTAAACTTGTTGTTTGTTAATATAATTTTTATATAGTGTGATCAAATTCATTTATATTGACAAATACGTATATGGAATTTTTATCAAACGCATATATGCGTCCAAATAGTACTCGAAAGGGTTAACAACCATAATTCATTATTTTATTTTATTTTTATATATTTTTATCTCATCGGTAGTAAAAAACAATTAAATATAATTATATACCGAGAATAATAAACGAGATTCGCGTTTTTTTTTTTTTACTTTTCACGCATAATTTCTTTTTGGATTAAAAGAAAAAAAAAGAGAGAGAGAGAGAGAGAAACGATGTAATTTTTCAACAGTTGAATTATTTTCTTCCCATTTAATCCAAACGAGGAAGCTTTATGTTCTTTGAGAACTTTTGCATCGTTTAATTGCATGTCCGAGTAATGCTATGACGTTAGTTTTCAAAATAATGAACGTAACGTTAATGCGAAATAATAATAATAATATAATTTATCGATCAGAGTGAGAAAAATATATATAGAGAGAGAGAGAGATATGTAGAACACTATATTACTCGTTTGTTATTATTTCATCGATAAAGTTTTATGCATCCAATTAATATTATCAAATATTATTCGCAATTATCGTATTAAGTATTTTCATCATCTTAAATGATATTAATCGAATGATTTCGGTGATACGGAAAATTACCGATAAATATTTCACATTTGTTTTTTTTAACTTTCTCGATCTATTTATTAATACAATTGAATCGATTATTATGAAAAAATTAGCCCTGACAAATATATATTTTCAAATTGATATTATATCCAATTAAACTTAGTTATCTTTCTAAAATAATAAAAAAAAAAAAATAAAAAACAATCAAATTATTCTTTCCCAATGGAACTGAATGAAATACGAAACAAATATTCAACATAGGGTCAGGCAACTTTTTATAATTACCGATACAAATGTTATATATATATATATATTAAGTATACCGGAAAAATCTGTTCGTTTTTTAATTAAAATAAAATAAGTAGAAAAATACGAAATAAATCGAATAAAATAATACATTTTCGCGATATAACGAATCTGACTGAATCAAACATTGTTGTAAAAAGAACAAACATATGTAAAAATGCATTAATAAAAAGAAACAGTAATTATGAACAGAGAAAAAAGGATAACATTACATCGAACAGAATTTTCTGGTAAATCTAATATATATATATATATATAAATATTATAAACAATATAAATTATATTTGAAATATTAATATATATTATATTATATAAAATATAAAGAGAGGAAAGAGGAAAAAATAAATGAATTAAATAAAATAAAAATAATATAATGCGTTACCTGGGAACAGGTGTGCTGACTCGAATGTTGAGGATACGCCGTATTGGTCGCCGTACAAACTCCGGTACCAGGAACTTTCAATTGTTCCTTGTAATCCGGTTGATACGGCAACAACATGCGAATTTTACCCCAACGATTGAAGAACAGTGCTATTGCACCGGCCCATACAATCAGCACCAGTATAACAATGCCAACTTCTACCCCACGTATCTGAAATCAGGAATAAAACAAAAAGCTTCTTTTTTACTCGCGAGTAAGTTAGATTCAAAAAGGGGACCCTAATTTTACGAAAATCATTTCATGTTCATTGTTCATTATATTTTAGGCTGAATCAAATAATTCGTGAGTTTTTTGTTTCACTCGCATATGAAGTATAATAATTTTGATTGACTTCAAAACAAACATTGTGCACTATCTGAAACAAGACGATAAACCTTTTGCTTAAACAAATTATAAACAAATTTGTTGTTGAAATTTTTTCTTTCTATGGAAAACAATGTGCAAGTATAATTTTGCAAGAATTTCATTTTGAATTAATTCGATAATCATTTTTATTTCTCGTATTTACTAAAGTGAATCAAAAGTTAATGAAATTTGTTTAAATGAATATTTGCAAATTAAATTGAATAAAATATTGCATTATTTTAAAAACGATGCAATACAAACGTACGAACTTTTGTTTCACTCTAATATTTTTTCCCTCTCTTTGAACAACTCCCCAGCCTACCCCACGCCACTCGAACATCCCTTAACCCTGTTTCATACTTGTATGTAAGGTTGAGGTTGAGAAGACGGCGAAGATGGTGGAAGTGGTCCATTTGTTACTGCTGCATCCTGCTGGGGAAACGTTCTCGGAGGTTCTAAGAAACCAAATGCATAATATGTTAGTGTATATATATATAATCGTGTATATAGGGTGTCCTATAATAGAATTAATTCGTTAAATATTCTTATAAATTGATTACGAATACGTACGGTAGGGATCGGAGAACAAAAACAATTCTTTCTGATAACAAGAAAAAAAAAATGGTATAGAATAACCTTTGATAGTAAAAAGAATCTTAGAATTAAAAGCAGATAAGTTTGTGGTATAAGTAAGGTCACGTTTATAAACGTGTTATTATCAAAGAAGTAAGTATACCACAGCTGATCGATTATTATCGATGTTGATTACATTTTATTAATAAAAATCACGAAAAAAATTAATTGTTTTCATGATTATTACTTCAACTATTTCTCTTCTTCATTAAACGTGCAATTTTTCTATTTTTTTTTTAGGATTTTTACTTCAATTTTCCGAACATTTAAGATAATATAAATATTTAATTTTAATACAATACATTTTTTTCTTATCCAAAATTTTCCTAACATTATTACTAAGTTTAATTCTTAGGGATGTTTTTTATACATTTTTTTATAGTTTTTTTTAACCTGTCCAAAAAAAAAACATCCCTAAGAATTAAACTTAGTAATAATAAATATTGAATGTTTCTTATTTGAAATCAAAATTGAATAATTGAATATTTGAGATAGGACACACCGTGTATATATTTACACGACATACTTTGATATGTGTGACCTATTATGTTTGCACATATGGTGTGTTTATTTTTTATAAAATAGAGTTAACACGTGGTAGCATATGAAACATATGTTCTACTGAAGTGCATATACACCACTATCGTTGCAATATACATAGATATATATATATATATATATATATATTGACTATCTATGCGAACAACTTGTTACACGATTTAGTATAGATGTTTGTGTGTGATTTACTTGCTTGGATAACCTTGTTCTACTCGTATCTATAAGCGTTATATAAAATTGTCGAATAAGTTAATAAAACAAAATCGAAAAGCTGCACAAATTTGTACATGCACACACACACACAGAAACAAACATGTTTACTGCATATGATTATCGATGATACTTCAGAGTAGTTTTGTAATTAGGGTGAATCAAAAGTTCGTAACATTTTTAATTAACATTTTCAAAATAAATTTGATAAAAAACAAACATGCAGTTTGGCTATTGTACGCACACACACACAAACGCGTTTACTGCAGATGGTTATCGATGATATTTCGAAGAAAATTATGTAGGTTTTGTAATTAGGATGAATCAAGAGTTCGCGCGTGCATTTTGTTTTTTTTTATTATTAATAATTACAAAATAAATTTTTGACCCAAAAGAAAAAGCACATAATGCAATTAGTGACACAATAAATGCATGGACTTGTACAAGTATTTATTTGAAATACAAAAACTTTGGTAGGGAGACAATCGTAAAGTGAAAACGAAGATAAAATTAAAAAAAAAAAAGGGAGAGAAAGAAGCAATAATGGGGGTAAAATGATGGGGTATTTTGAAATATGACCATTTTGGTCACTCTGTGGGACAGTTGAAATATCGATTTTCTCTAACAATATATATATATATATCTATATATGTATATATGTAGATAGGTATAGGTAGGGTGCTTTTAATATTGGTTACGAAACCAAGTATTCTCTTCCATCCCTGGAGGAATTGATGTGCAACGTATTATGTATCGCGAGGACGTTCTATTAAGGCCGTCCAATCAAGCGTTCTGTCGATAAATCCAGTAAAAATCCTCACCTTGATTAAATCTTCAATCGATTTTTCGATTAATTAATTAATCAAACCTTCTAGATAATATCTTGAATTAATCTCTAACGTTAAATAAATGCAAAGACCACAACAAAAATTAT